TGGAATTTTGGAATTCTTCAGGGGTAAAAGGTTTTGAGCCTGGAATTCTTCAGGGGTAAAGAGTTTTGAGCTTGGAATTTTGGAATTCTTCAGGGGTAAAAGGTTTTGAGCTTGGAATTCTTCAGGGGTATAACCATAAAAAACATGTATCCTCGACAGGGGGTGTACGGATATTAAATGGAATAGCCCAATCGAAGGATACAATGTGTAGTTTGGGAGAGTCATATTTGTATACGGACAGCAATCAATGGGAGAACATGAAAGTTTTTGAATTTTTATTATAATCGACGAAATATACAGACAATTTAAAAGCGATAGTTGTGGACGAAGCCCAATCTTGTTACAGCTGAATGGTGAGTGAGGGATACTGATATATTTGGTTGTTTCTCAATATTCTTTCTTTGCAATATTAATGGTTATCTGCAAGACTGTACACATACAGACAACATATATTCTGTTTAATACGTCTGGTCTAAACGCTGCATTTTACATGTGCCAAGTCTAGAAAAGTTTGTTCAACCTTTTAAATGCTACCAAATTATTTTACTCAGCTTAACATGCCAGATGATTGAGCAGGGCTGCAAATTACTGTCGGACATCGGACAATGTCCGACTAAATTTGGCAAATTTCCGAGCAAAAGTAATTTTGATCGGACATTGGTCCGATCACAAAAAAATTGTCACATTATACATTTTTTTGCTGTGACAAAATCCGATTGCAAATTCACTCAATTTGCATTTTGCAATAAAATTTACGAGGCATTCTAGCATTTTACTTAACGTTGCGCCAGAATGGATATACATACTTGTCTCGTGACTTATATATATCTTGTGACGTATATATGTCCGATCAAATGTAGCGATGTTGGTTTTTGTCCGACCAAATTTAAGTTATGTCCGACCAAAATTAAAAGTGATCGGACAAATGTCCTGTGATGTCAAATATTTATTTGCAGCCCTGTTGAGTGTACTGGTCAATGTGAGAGTGCTACTGTTCAATGGGTTAATCAGATTATCTCTTGTACTTTACTGTCTAATGTCAGACAATTTTGCTCATCAAGGGGAGAGTGGGTATAATTGCAAAGTAATTACTTTGCCACTTTGGACAAATGTATAAGTTACATATGTTTACTACATACCGGTATGTACATAAATTCAACATTTAAATCAAAATGTCAAACTTTATTATTTGAGTCAAACTTTATTATTTGAGTCAAACTTTATTTATTTGAGTCAAACCATGTAAATTCACATTAGATTTGGCACATGTAAAATGCGGTATTTAGACAGAGACAATGAGCATAAAAACCTGAAATATTATGTGCATCCCAACCACCCACCCACCCTCACCCCTTTCCTCACCCCTTTCCCCACCTTAATCTTGGTATCCCCAGATAACGATTGTTTGTGGGATATACAACTACCTGTAAGGTATCGTGTGACTGCATACTACAAGCTAGTATCATATTCAGTTTAATACATATACATGACTTGAAATATGTATTTTCTTGCCAGCCATTTTCAATCATAAAATTATCCATGTTGCTGTTAAATTATGATTGGCCTAAAATGTTTGGCTAAAGATTGTTTTAATTTATAAACATTGTACTACTATATTTAGGAAGGATTTCAGGCCTTGCTATGAAAGGATTGGTATGTCGGGAAGTTTGTTTCTTCATCAACTCAGAGAAAGAAGTTGCATCAACTCAGAGAAAGAAAGAAATTTCATCAACTCAGAGAAAGAAAGAAATTACATGAACAAAATAAACAATTTTGTGTCATTGATATAAATAATGATTTATTCTTACAATTTCCTGTATGAAAATTTGGTGTGTTAATAAAGATACTGTAAAAAATAAATAACAGCTTTATGGTGCATCCATGCTGTGCTTTAATATTGCAGTGGTGTAGGAAATGGAGGTGTGTGGGTACCAGTGTGCTTGTGTGTGGAGCCGGATGCCCCAAAAGTTCCCCGACAAGGAATATCAGATTCCCAACAGGGGCTATAATCTTTCAAACAGTAAAATTATTGTTTTGTATGTTCAACTTATCACTCACACATGAAAATGTTGAATTTTTTGGCTATCATGAAATGGTGCAGAATTTATTGTCTGCAACAGTGCATTTACCAGCAATAGTCATTATTAAATACATTTAAAAAACTCATTAATAATTAAGGAGCAAAACACACAGAAAAATCATAAGCGTGTCGTATCTTTATATGTGATAAAAAATCATGTTAATTTACATAAACTTTAGCTTTGATTTTCTCGGTTTAGACAAAGTTTATTTTAAAAATTACTTCGCTAATTTACTCATCAGAAAATGGGTCGTTTTTTAAGCCATTTAAAGCACTTGTAGTCGTGTTTTATCAGATATAAAACGCTCGGCTGCGCCTCGCGTTTTATATCTGATAAAACACTCCTACGCGTGCTTTAAATAGTACTTAATATAAAATACAATATTTTTACATAAATTAAGAGCCTTTGATGAAATTGATATAAAATCAATAAAGTATGTCTATTAAATATAGTATATTAAAAAAATATATATTTTATAATATACTATATTTAATATAATATTATGTATGGCATGGACCCCTCTTGCATTGAACAACCACACAGACACTCATTCACGATCAGGATTTTCTCATTTGTAATTGAAAGATGCAAGACATCACTCACAATTTTTGTAGATTTGTACAATTAACGGTACAGTCTTTCTCGCATAGCCTTTCGCCTGTCTTTGTTTATACTCTGTATATAATTAAATCTCGTATATAAAACTATAAAAGGTCCCTTCGGCTTCGGCGATTTCAATCTTTAAATAATCCAATGTCCAATTTTGTGCAGCTTTTTAATACATTGTGACACAACATCCAACATTTATTATATTAAAAATAAAATTTCCATTGATAGACAGCAGATTTCAACGACCAAAACGACTCTTCGTCTTCTTTGAAGAGTTAATACACTCCTATCTACTCGTATAGTCAGCCATATTTATTAGTAAGAGTTCGTGTTTAATTTCCGCATTCCCATTAGGTTGTTTTCATGCGACCAATCAAATCACTTTTCGTTTTGGTTTTCGACAGGGCCTCCGGCAACGCAGTGTCAGCCGTGAGGCCCTGGGACCGAGGATGGGATTCTAGCAAAAAGAGAACCCTGGGTACGAGGTTGCTTGTTCACGTGATTGAATTATTTCTGTGTTCATGACTGTTCTTATCCGCCTCCATGGAACGACATCACATGGCGTCTTCGAAATATTTTTTGTTGTAATTAAGCAAACTGCACCTTGCATGACTTTATAGTAATGGGCCATAGACCCTTTTCATAAATGGCTGCCGATTAAAAATTCTTTTATGTGCATATAAAGTGGCCCAACTAGCCTCGTTTCTGGGTAGAAATTTATATGAACATAAAATAATTTTTAATCGGCAGCCATTTATGAAAAGGGTCTATGGCTGTTCAGGTTTATTCATTTACTGTTCAATTTTTGTTTGTATTTTCTAGTATGCCGTTCAATGCTATCCAGGTGATCTCGTGTGCATATTTTAGCCAATCAGCGCTCAGAAAGGGTTGTCCGAATAGAAATCCATTTTGATGTATTCAGTCAATTATATCTTTCGTTATTCTTTATGAAACTAGTTGAAATTTTGTAAGTATGTTTGGTTATGAGAACTCTAGCTCTGACAAAAATATGGAATCGAAATAAAGTATATTACAGGAGATATTCAGTTGTTTTAATCATAAAATGGATTTCTATTTGACAACTAGTGCCAGTACTTTTCCGTGTATCAAGATCATCTGGATATTATAGGTCAAAATCGGCAAAAAATTATCATCCCGGTCAGATCATGGGATAAAGCCTTCATATGGAAAATTTTCAATCCTACTTGACTGAGATCCCATCTAGCACAAGGAGATGTCACCGAGCTGGTGTCCGAGGAAATATGCCCCCTATATCCCCCTAGGAGATATTTGGCCCCCTCTTCGGAAATTTGGCTCCCCTTTTAGGATTGAACAAATATAAACATAATTCATGAAAGTGAATCTCTTATAAACATATCGAAACATATATTTGACAAATATATGTGAAATTTCGGTCTGAAGAAGATAATGATAGCATAACCGGCATTTTAAAACCTTATAAACAAACATTCGACAACTTATAGGCGATTAGCTCTGCAGCGCTGAAATTTCTGACGCGCTGGCCTCGTTTCATATAAGAACACAAATTGAATTTTATACTGATGCGTTAACAGAGGGTATGCGGATCTCACTCTTGTTGTGGATTTCCCAGTTGGTCGGGCTCATATAACATACTATAGGTGTGCAAATCCGATCCGAAAACGATCCGGATCGGATTCGTTCGGATTTCGGAACCAAAATATTCATATCGGATCGGATTGATAAAGTTGTTTCGTAGTCGGATCGGACTTCGATATCCGAAATAAAATGAATTAATTATCCACGCATTATCGTAAGAATTAATTATCCATGAATTTATTAAAGCATTATCGCGGTTGTCGCTGCATTATTCGTTTGATACCCAACGGAGGTTGGTTTGATACTTCAATTGGTCGTCACTTTGTCAGCTTCTTGTCATGTATTTCTTGATTTTATATTTATTTGCTTAAATATTTCAACTTGAATGAGAAATTTATTTTATTAAAGAATTCTTCGGATCGGATTGGAATTCTTTATCGAAACTCGGATCGGATTCGGATTAGACAATTTCGGATCGGATCGAATTTTAAACATTAGGCAATTGTCGGATTATAAACGTCCAATCCGATCCGATGCACACCTCTATAACAGACCCTTACTTGTACCACCACGATTGTATTATTGGTACGTTGCGAAGAAAACCCTGCAGGTTGCTGAATATTAGTTTCTTGTCCTTGAGGTGGATATCCTGAGTTTTGAGGTGGATACCCCGGGTTTTGAGGCGGATACCCTTGGTTTTGATATCCCCCTTCATAATGTTTCTGTGGTGGATACCCAGCCTGTTGTTGTGGGGTATAATCGGTGTTAGGAAGTGGCTCATATCCTTGATATCCACGCTGTGGGTGGTGGTGCGGTCCCTCTGGACTGTAGGGTGGTGGCTGCTCCATCTTCTAACAATGTCAATAACATAATAAAAATTCTCATAAACCAATTTAGATTTTCCACTGCACATCCAAATGACGTGTTCAGCGTAGAAAAGCCGGTTTTCCACTTCGCCCGTATCGTACCGCAACGTATCGGTGAGCATGCGCAGATTGAAAAGAGGTTTATAAATCCACGTACTTCCGGGTGTATTCGCGTATCAAAATAAAAAGTTCGTCGCAAGTCAACTTTTTGGCGTACTACGGAAGTACTAACCAATCAACATTTACGAAATTTTGAAATTTAAAAACGTTTTCGCTACGTTCGGTTATGGTACGGTACGGGTGAAATGGAAAACCGGCTAAATAAATTGCAGTTGAACTTCCGGGTGTCCCAAACAAAACTGGACACTGTTTGATTTCATATAGTGTAAAAGCTAGCACAATGAAATGACGATTAATGCATTCTGAAAGGACTAACTTAGATTTTGTATATTGTACTTGAATTTACATGCAACTGATTGAGCGAGATACAACCAAAATAAAAAGACTATTTAACAAGTAGAACTACATTGACAATTATAACTAAAGATTGTTTTCATGCTAATTTTTGGCATTTTCAAAAACAATAGTAGCGCTCATTAAATAGAGCGGTCATTAAGTATGTGTCATGGGGTGGGGGCGGATGCTTTTTTATTTGGCGGGGGGGGGCATGAACGGAAATCTTTCTTCCTAGGAAGGTTAAGACCAATTTTATAAAAAGCATGCAAAGCGGCTTGAAACAACAAATATATATATATATATATATATATATATATATATATATATATATATATATATATATATATATATATATATATATATATATATATATATACAGGGTGTATAAAAAAAACGCAATCCTACGTTCAAATGAAATTTTCATAACGAAAAGAATTAGGAAATAGGCTATATTTACTACTGTTAGAAAGCTCTATCATTCCGCATTCTTAAGACTGCTTATTGGTTTAAATTTGAGTTGGAAATGAGCGAGTAATGTTATTTTTAGTAAGTGTGATTGGACAATTTAAAATTTGAGATAGCTTGAATTTTATTAAACATTTAACTTTAGTTGGTTACAATTATTCAACGTGGCCACCATTTCTCAGCACACACAAATCACTTCGACGTTGCATTTCTCGTGCAACTCTTCTTATAAGTTCAGGATTTCCATGCAAAGCATCTGCTTCAAGCTGTATCTTCTTCCTCAGATTGTTGATATCTTTTGGTGGCGTCTGTAATAATGAAAGTCTGGTGGTTCGCCTCTGGGAGCGTACTGGCGGACATTGTGAGAATTAACAGTCACCATTCATACAAAATCCGGCCTCGTCCCCAACAACGAAATTTGCTAAGAATCGAGGGTTTCGTAGCTGTTGGTTGAACCATCGGCAGAATTGAAGTCGCCTCGGGATAATCATTGTCTTTCAACTCGTGTCGAAGGTTTATTTGATAAGGATGCCAACTTAAGTCGACAATTCACAATCGACCACTTATTGAATAGAAAAAAGATAAGGCTAAAACATGAACTAAAAGTTAAGACATGGAAATCCATATTATTTTGGTTATAAAGCCTTAAACTTGGATTGCGTTTTTTTTATACACTTTGTATATATATATATATATATATATATATATATATATATATATATATATATATATATATATATATATATATATATATATATATATATATATATACTGTAGCGTTTATTAACCCATAAAGAGCCATGCAGGGGTGCATCTTTAATAGTGAGATATCCACTCCGGCTCCCAAATAGAATATCTGGCATTGGCCAGAATGAAAAGTTCAAAGAGTGCATGCATACTTTCCCAATACAGCAGTTAATTTAAATGTTAATATGTCTGGCACAAAGCAGCTTCTGTACAGGTACTAAGGGTGTCCCCAAAAAACAAAAAAATATTCAGAAATAACGTATTTTTAGAATTTGAATGCCCTCCCACTAAACTGAACGCAAAGTGCGTAAAATATTGATAGGGTGCATATATATTATAAATATTGACTTATTAAGACATTTAAATATCTTTGTAAAGCTCACGATTTTCTGCTTTGGGAGTTAAAGCAGCTTCTTAAACAGTTCCTTTAAGCATAAAATTTACTTAGGCCTATTGCTATGTAAAGCCTTTATGCACTTGTGGGTTCAGCAGAGTGCTGAGGCATTCAAATTCTAACAATATTACGTTATTTCCATAGTCTTGGGTTTTTTTGGGACACCCTGCAGAATTATAAGGAGGGGTATGAAATTAATGACCGCTCCCTAATTTAAAGCGAAAATATATTCCCGGCTTAAGTGCATGTATATCTTTGTTTATTTTGCTTCACATGCACAGAAGACAAACTATGGCTATAAGTGACACATAATAATGATTGGACAGCCGAATACATCACTGAATACATGTTATGATTCAACTGCAACTTTTTCTCGGCGCATGCAGGGCGGTCATTTGGATAGGTCAGTGCCAATACTAACAAAACTTCGGTTGATATCGATGTAACTATAGCTGAAAAATACAAGGAGAACTCGACGTTTCGAGCGAAAATTAAGGGCCTTCATCGACGAAGGCTTTATAGTTATCTTAATCTCATTCTTAACGTGATCTTTATGACATTGTTCCGAGAAAAAATAGAGAGTTTGAGCAAGAGAACGAAGTAGGACGACGAAGACGTAGTTGACAATTTTAGTCTGTCTTGCACATTGTCTTGTGCGTATTCTGAGTTGAGGGTCAGGGGTGAAGACAGATTAGACATTTGAGACATTCATGTCTAGCTGTTTTATATGAATGCTGACCCAAATCCTTGAATCCATATCCCGTCTTCGTTATTCTGCTTTCGTTCGGAACGAATATTTTGGCAAAATTCTTCGTGAACTTTGTACTGTATACAAAGGCAGCAGAACAAAGACGGGATATATAGTTTCATGTCTCGCTGTTTTGTCACTTTTGTCTGCGTCAGGGCAAGAATTAGGGTCAGTATTCATAAACAGCTACACATGGGAAGACACATTGAGCAACCACCAGTGACGTCCAACTCGGTATGCGCAAGATAATGTACAGACGGGAAAAATTGTCAAGTACGCCTTCGTCTTTGTGCTTCATTGTGTTGCTCAAACTCCCTAACATCAAAACTGAGTCATCTAACCTATCCATGCAACTACCATGTTGTTTTTTGGCGAAGAGACGAGAAGAGGGGTTGGTGTGTGAGAGATATATGCAACTACCTAAAAAATACAAGGAGAACTTCGTGGTTTCGAGCGAAGAGTGGTCTAAGACCCTTTGTCGGCACTATCGCTACTAACTTCCTGACGCCGAAAGGGCTTTCGCTTGAAACGTCGAAGTTCTCCTTGTATTTTTCAGGTACTTGCATCCCTATCAACCGAATGGTCTCCTTAACTTGGTACACCAATTCCCAGATTCAATAATTACTTACACTTTTCAGATATGTAATATTGTGGTTTAATTTTCATGCTGATCAGAATGCAACCCTATAATATCATTGATGTGCATTGAATGGAATCCATCTCTTAAAAGTGCATAAAGTGTAAAGTAAACATTGAAATGGGCAATTGTAATAAGTGCCGGGCGCTGAGACTGACGTTTAAGCAAGTTTTAAGATAGTAATTTCAGCACCTACCTTCTGCTTAATTAACTGTAAATCTTATAATGTTGAATACTTTGATTTCCATGTAATGATGCCTTGGGATATTGCAGCGAATATTTCCAAACTTACGAGCACTTCCTGGTATTTGGGTGATATTTGATAGAGTGTTGCGATGAAAGTCACGGGACAAAGTTATAAAGCTTGAGGAATGGAGCCCGCTGTGTCGAGTTCTTAGTCCAAATAGCAGTTTGTGATGCAACTATTGCTGCGGTGCTAGGTTTAATTGGATCATTGATTTCGAAGGGCTTTTTTCGTGGAACAACAGCATTACATGCTGGTATGACGCTTTTTACCTATTAAATAGAAGCATTTTTAAACTGACTTTTGACCTTTACTTGCATGGTGAAGTGTCGAGAAGTGTGTTAATTAATTCAGCCCTTCGACTAAATCAAAATTAATCTACCTCACGTTAACTTAAGTCGCTATAGTGATTTATTCGTATGAGATGTCATTTGAAATCCTCCAATTCGGACTGAGAACCGACACGACCAGGTTGAGCTGCGTCCTTCGCAGTTCAACTTAGCTCTCAGCTGCCAGTAAGGATGATTAGCACACCCCACTTACTTACTTGCATACATATCACCCCCCTAATTCAGTCCCAATCCCCAATTACTCTGTATGTCAAACCTGGTATAATCATTATTCGTTTATTTATTTTATGAAAAACATCTTCGTTTTACAAAGCTTTTGATCTTTTTTTTCAAAGGTTGCGGATTTTTAATGTCGCATTGTTTATTAGAATATAATAAATTATACTTCAAATTCTATTGTTTTTTTACGCTGGGCTATCATTCTATCAATAGACAATTCCCATTATAGACTAATTTTAAAACTAGGCAAGGAGATGCAAATAAATCACCACAGCTAGAAAGAGCATACTAAAATTAGTAAAATTGTCGCGAAATGTTGTAAATTGCGGAAAATGTAGCCTTGCAAAATTTGAAAATTTTGTAAATGAAAATTTTGTATACTTTTGTATTGTGTGCGGAAATTGCTACCATCTTAAGGCCCAAATGTGCTAGCAATTTCGGCGCGCTATGCAAAAGTATACAAAATTTGCGAACTTTGCATGGCTATATTTTCCGTATTTTACAACAATTCGCAACAAAACTTTGCAATTTTACTCATTTTAATATGCTCTTTCCGGGAATATACTTTTTTTTGCCAGGACAAAATATTAGTCTATAAGATTCATGAATATTACTTTGAATACATGCTTAGTTCCAGAAAGTTCGTCACCTGGCCTCGTTTTCGTGATTGAGACGTTGGACTTTAACTGATGTCCAATCTCGTTTCTCGTGCATGTGTTAAGATGATAGATTAGTATTGGTGATCACACGGTAAAGAGTGCAATTAATGATTAACACTACGTCTACGAGTGATTTTTGAAAAATATGCCGAGAATTGCACGAGCCGAGTGCAATTTTGCACATTTTTCAAATATCACGAATCGTGTTAATCATTCAGTTGCACGACTTGCCCACGTGTGATTATTTATTTAGTATATACATGACAAAATTGCTTTCTTGGATATTCAACCGCATTTTGTCAAGAGTTTTTTCTTAGTTTTGTAAGCAATTTGGCATAAACAAACTTGGGAAATGATCATAAACTCATCATAAAGGCAAATGGCTTAAACTAGAACACATGATTCAAATTAAACTCAAACATATTTTTATAGAGTAAGAAAATCTTTATAAATTGTATCACAAACTTACATAGTCACGTTTCGCTGCATCTCGAGATTATTTCTTAAACTGTTTCCAGGTATTTTCCAGAGGCTGTTTTTGCCATACTATGTTTTTAAACTTATTCTTGTGCCAAAATTTAGTTAAATTCGCCCACGTTTGTTATTTATACAAGATAAATTTCGCCGCCATATTGGATTTTTGTTGCTTTGATTTCCAGCTCCCCTGGACAGCGCAATTAATGAAATAATTGCACTTCTCTTAACCAATCAGATCGCAGTAATTTTGTCATTATAATAAATACAAATATTTACTGCATGTTGTTGTTTTCGAAAATACAACAATTTTAAAAAGTCAAACTGTTAGATTCTAATAATGCCCGCAGCCAGAAATTTCGAATCGTTCTTAGTCGTTGCTAGTTTAAGCGGCATTGGGAGATTATCAGGATTTTCATAATCATGACAGGAAGCTGCACTATCCGGCCACAAACTTGAGCGGCATAAGCCAAGTTTCTTGCTTTTCGCGCTGACGCCATGGCTCTGGCATAGTCGCCAGCTTTGTAACGATTTCTTGCCTTGAAATAAAGGGATGAACATTTAGTCATCAGCATATGAAAATGATGATGAAGTGAGCTGGAAATGCATGTCTGCTAGCACCGCTGCTCGGCTAGGAAATTTTAACAAAATCTCTGCAGGAAATTTTCTTGTCATGCTGTATAATGGACTCCCATATAATTTTGTTGTTGTTTTCAATTCTAAATGCCTTTTGTCAAGGCTAATTTCCACTCCAGAAAATAAGCAGCGGATCGGAACAAAGCAAAATCCGCGCATGCGCCATCAGTAGAAATTCTTGGTTCCGATTGATCCGGCGACTTTGCTGGCCGGATAATAAAAATTTGAAATATTTTCAACTTTTTTTGATCCGGTCCGCGGATTGAACCTGGCGACCAATCAAAATGCCGTATTATCTGACATAATTAAAAATAATTAAATAATACCTGTATAAAATTTACAAAATGGAGGATAATTCAGGAGCTTTCTTGGAAAATTTACAAGAATTGGAGAGTACAACAGCTCTTTAAATTAATTTGTTTGGCAACATACGAAATTGCTTACAAAAATATTCATGATAGCTTTAACTTTTCTATCAATAAGTGGTATTTACTTTTCGATCGAAAATTTTTCTTATGTATCCTTCTTGTTTGCTTCTCCTTTGCTGGCGATGACATAACCAAATCAGATGAAGGGCACGCTTGTTCAGAGCCGCTGCCGTTTTGAAATAAGCGCGAAATATTAATTTGTGAGACTGGAACGAGCTCCATTTTTGCCTTTTCCGATCCGATTATTCCACTTGTCCTTTTACTGGAAATCGCTTGCTGGATTGGACCGGATCGGAAACACCTCCAATCCGGTTTGATTCGCTGCTTATTATCCGGAGTGGAAATTAGCCTTCAGTTTCATGTGCCCGCTTCTGGAAACTACGTCACCTTGGCAATAGAGCCTCGTCTTCATGATTGAGACGTTGGGTTTCAACCGTGATGTTGCATACACGTAAACGAGACTCTGTATAGCCGCAGTGCCGTACTTCCCGAAAGGGAAGGATCAGTCCTAACCGTAAATCTAATCTCAATATAATAACAGACAGATTTAGATCGAGGACGCGGACGTCAAAGACGACGTGAAAATGGCGTGTTGTGCCCATGTATGGATATGCCACGCCATTTTGACGCCATTTTCACGTCCGGGTCACAGAATAGATACTGGACCAGAAGTGTCACTCAGACGATATTTTGTCCGAAATTTTACGAGTGCTGACGTGAAAATACGCCATCATATCACGCCATCCTGGAGTGCACACGGACGTTTTTCATAGGCCAAGCATAGATACAAAGTGCCGTGTGCACTCCAGGATGGCGTCATAGCACGTAAAAATATTTCGGACGTTTTCCTTCAGCCAAAACACATAGGAGTGTCACTTCTGTTATCTGTGTCACTTCATGTTATCAGTAAATTATAGTTTTATGTTATATTCCTAAAAGTATATTATTAAGATTTTCAGTGCACTGAAATTGATTTTTCTGTTAAAATACAACATTCAATCTGACAACTTGTTAGTGTCACCATGGATAATAAAATAAATGGATAGGAAACTAGCTGACGTGACCTAATGTTTTCAATAGGATGATGGCGTTGCAACCTAGTTGCAAACCAAATTCTCAAAAACGGCATGTTTAGCGATAATACAGCTAAACATTTTAGTCAAAGAGCAAATAAACATGACTAAGCCATTCTACGATGGAATCTCTAAGTATTCCTGGTCAATTTTAGCAAATATTTCAAGCACTAAACACTGAAAAATGCATCGCAAATTTCGTAAAACTTGGCGACGCCAATTTCGTAGCTACAAATGTTAAAAAATACAAAACAAAGACGAAAAACACTTACCTTGAATACTTTGTCGTGGCTTAGGCATGTTTTTAAAACAATTATACCAATTTATGCTTCAATATTACTCTTTTGAAGCGGAAAATATAGCGAAACAACAAAAATGCTGAAAGTTTTCGCAATACACATGACGTCACAGATTGCAACTAGGTTTAGACAGTGACGTCAGGAAGTTTCCTATCCAGTTATTTTACAATCCATGGTGTCACACACGGTGTCCGAGTTGTCCATTTGCAGAAACGTTTTCGATGAATCTCTTGTGGTTCCCGAAAGTAAAAATTTTCCAGCCCTGCATTTCTCATTCGGAAAAGCGAGATCATCCCCTCACCTTACACGATTTAATGATGGCAAAAATTGCAATCGGCCAACACGAGCAAAAGCAGAGGAAGATTGATAACTTCATTTTATCATTCACAACAGAATTCACTGCAGTTGATAATTGAGGTTGATTCTAAGAACGTAAATTAATTTAATATCAATAATACATTTTGCACCGCATTTAAAATTTTTTAACGACCGGCAAGGTCCAGGCTTAATATCTATTTAACTAAAACTACCATTTGGAGTTTACTCCATCATCAGGTTAAAAAGATTACAATTTATATTGCGCTAACATCTAGTCATCTATATTAAACACAGAACGAAGAACTCCCCCTTCAGTTTATTATTACTACAGTATACTTAGGCCTAGGTTCTTGCCAAAAGAGAACTCTGGGTACGAGATTGCTTTGTTCACGTGATTGAATTATTTCTGTGTTCATGATTGTTTTTATCCGCCTTCATGAGACGACATTAGAGACCTTACGATTTAGGACGGCAACGCGGCTACCAATACAATAAATCATAAAAAAGAATTGAGTAATTACAATATATGAACTAGAAAATACATGCATGCATGCAGAAACCCTCGCCTTGCTGCCAAAACCATTTTATTTTCCGAACGTGAAGTATTTTAAGTAGTTGTCATGGTAACACGATAATTTTTTAGGAATATTTTTACAAATGAAAAATCCCCTATAAATATCACTTTTAATTACAAAATTATCAATTTCCTAAACATATATATGTT